TATTCCAATATACAAAATTATATCCTATAATTACCCAAACACACTTTTGTCGTGATTTCGGTCAAAATAGAATATACAATAAAAATTGAATTTGGCGATTTGAAAAGGAATTACGTAAGGTATCAGACAAGAGTAAATTTCACGGTGGATCGCCTAAAAATAAAAATTAATGCGCCAAGAAATTGCGTTTCACGCGTCCCAGCTCATATGCTATCACGCCTGAATCTTTATTGTGTCGTCATTTTACATTGCCTCATTCTGAGCACTTATCATGCATAAAATACATCGCATTGGCATGTAAAGGCCGTAACCGTACACTTTCACAGCGATCAAATATTTCCCCGCTGAGCGTGTGCAAGATTTAAATTAAAGACAAGAATATACTATAAAAGTGGGCAAGTGGTATACATCTTCAAATTACAATGTTCGTTTGGGTATACACCCACAATTTATAAGCCAATAGGCGACAAATTTAACCTAACTTTATGTCGCGCTATGTAAAATTTTGTTCATTTCAACTAAATTGCTGGACGAAAGAAAACAAATGACTAGCTTTTTAAACAAAAGTTCTCTACAGCGGCGATAGAAAATTTAACAAGAAGCTGTTGGTTGCACAAACAAGTTAACGTTACGTCTAAATATATGTGACACGAATAAGTTTCGGAGACAGCATGTACGTGGTTATCTGCCAGAAAGCACTTGCATTGATGATACTGTGAAAGAGACTAATAATCACGGCAAAATGCTGAACATAATGTTGAATCACTGCGTGTATCTCTCCACTTACACACGCTTGAAAAACTGTTTAGAGTTAGACTGTTTTCGATTTTTGAATCGTATCAATTTCACGCGTCAGCTGACCACCTTGTGAATTGGTGCATATGCATATGGTAACTGTATTAGAGTATATATGACTTACTGTCATACTTTATCTATTTTACAATATAATTTTTTTTCTGGAAGGTATATGTGGTAATCTGGAAAATTCAAGATGATATTCAAAAAATTTCTTCCCAGAGAGGAATTGTCATGACTTATCACACATAACAGCTGTTTTTGATACACTCGGAATCTTTTAATTGTCGTAGGCCGCGAATCAATTCCGCGGAACACTTTTGTTTAGCTGAATCGATTTTGCTGCCGAATAAAGCATTATCTCACTGTCTTATGCAGAGTACATTTTGGACTGACTTTGACAGGATGAATAATTTTGTTTAAATAGGCGATCAAAATCCCTTCGTGGTTTTCAGTTATCTCTGATTAGTTTTTGCATACAAATTAAATGATTGCGAAAGAAAGATAATGGTAGACTAATTAAGAAAACTTTATCATTGTGAAAATTCCTTGTTTATTCACTCATCTAGAGTTACCGGCACTTTGGCAACATTCTAGTCTAGTCTAATGCTAGACTTCATTTTCATTGTCAACTTGAAGTTTACCGGCACTAAAACTATCGATTTCGGTATTAGATTCTGCAGTCTAACGTTGCGCAGTCATGCTACAATCGTGGGGATAACTTTACGACCACACTGTCATACGCAAGTCACAGAAAACAGTTGATTTTCTTCAATCTGAACTCGTCTCAACGTAGGTAACTACTTAGATACAACATGTATGTATGTACCAACACTGCATAATTGGAGGTTGAATAGCCTGTATAAACCATGCGGTACGTCCCGATTTGCAAAGCTGTTTGCATTCACTGCTTCGCTGTATACAGCATGCTACCCCGCTGATATTATCGGCAAAACAATTTAAATCCAAACATGACAAAGCTAATTGAAAACAGTTTTCAACTTCTCTCGCGATATGGGGTATGAAGTCGACGCGCTAATTGTGACATATGGTTACGATAACTGCAAAGTCTTCGCATGGCAGAAGGGATTGACCGTTATTCGGATTTTGACACCGACGGCGTTTCTCTTTCTTCAGATTATCTCATGCTTAATGATTTGAAAGCAATTCATCAAAACGATTTAATTATCCTGATATTGAATATATTATAACGGATAAATGTTTGAAAGTGAACTGTTAAAACAAATGCTTTCACTTTTTGTACAGAGAAACACGTCACGCGACATTCACTGACATCTCAGTTGATAGGACAGGCCTTACTTTTGGGCGGGGTTGTAAGCAGTCGCTTTGGTTGCAAATCGTATTCTGTAACTTACATTAATTCAATATGACCCAGGTTTCGCACTAAAGTGGTAAAGCGTACGAAGAAGACTTGATTCAGTCATTTATTTTTTTATAAGATTTCATGCCTTTTCTTAGGCCTACCGTAGGGATGTGTTGAAACAGTCCTTATACGAAAGGAGTACCCAGTTCATGAGAAAATATCCTACAGAATATCCGTTGTTTTTCTAATTTTGTCGGAGGATGGCTAATATTCTATCGTTATCTACAGTCTTGTTGTATATATGACACATTTCTGCGGTACCAATTAATAATCTGTTAACCGCAAGGGGTTTTTGTATGCTTTTCTGAGATATAACGAGTTTCATATTCACTGAAGTAACTAACAGAGCCTACAGCAACCGATAACAATTCAAGAGTTGAAATTTAGCATATTACTTTGTTTTTTACAAATTTACTTACCTGATTTGTGAGCATGTGAATATTCAGAGCATTTATTGAGCCGTATTCAAGTACCATTGAGAATATAACCGGGTCGCGACATCTTGAGATAAAAGGTCTTACCATTTCTCTAAAATATTACACTTTCAATATTGTTGAAAACGAATCCTTGACCCATATATTTTATATTGAGTATTTTTGTTTTGGCATTCCAACATATGAAATGGGTTTTATGGTTCTCATATGAGACAGACCTATGACGAAGTATTTGCATTGTCATCTTTGTGTATGTCAGATATTACAGCATTACAATAACTTTCCTAGGGTATAATCACGACGAACTGATTTATCGGCACTATAGCGCCATTTGTGATCTCTCTCAAACTGTTTGAAGGCTCTAAAACAGGGGTAGGCAACCTACGGCCTACGGGCCGGATCCGACCCGCAGAGTAATATAATCCGGCCCGCGATGGTTCACTGAATTATACAGGGTTTCCCAAACTTTTTTGCTCAAGGCACACTTTGCAAAATAAATTTCATCCGCGGCACACTCGGAATTCGATCTAGGTCCTAGATCAAAACTACTGTATATTTAGATATCAGAACTGGCAAACAATGAAAAAAAGCACAAGAAATAAAAAGTTCCGCAACGAAACAGTTTATCAAAAAATATCCATGACATACACAGTATTAGTGCGATACGTGCTTGCTTTTTAGCACCTAATTGTCTTGATGGGCGGCAGAATGGAGGTCAAGCAAACTTTTAGTTCATCTTTAACAGATTTCAGTTGCGACCTCGGTTTGGTTTTTATCTGTGATGAACGCGGATTCGCTCAAATAAGTTGTGGAGAATCGCAGAAAAATCTCACAGACACCGTTGAAAGTCCAGATTCCGACCCTGGGTATTCCTTCCGTGCAATGAGCCAAAAATTGTCGATTCTCATTTCGTTGTGTTGCCGTGTGCAGTCCACGCATATTACCGTGCATGCTTATCCATTTCAGCAATGCTTCTTGTAAATCGACACGAGAGTGATTGTTTCATTTTCTTGATATTTTAATGTAATAATAGTCATGTTCATTATTGTGTAATAATCTGTGATTCTGTGAAAAATCCGCGGCACACCTTCAAGACTTTGGCGGCACACTGGCGTACCGCGGCACACAGTTTGGGAAACCCTGAATCATAGTAACAAAACAGCTGTTTTTACGATTATATTCTTTACGTAACAGAATTTATTGTGAGACCTGTGTAGACTAAATTATATTTTAACCTAACAAGTTTATAATTCACAATTACTCTATAATTTACTAGAATTATTACTTTTACTATAATTTAATTAGAATTAGACAAATGGCAACAAAACGCAGAAAAGTTGATGATAAGTGCAAAGAGTTCAATGGCGCCAAAAATATTCGAATGGAATTTTTTGAGATGCAATGCAGTGAGAAAATAAATCTATATTCGATTCGAGAGATGTATCCTATCATGCTTTCGATTTTCAACTTTCTGAAAATATGTGCGGCCCCCCCAATGACTTGCAACCCTTGATAATATTTGCCCGCGAGCGACAAAAGGTTGCCGACCCCTGCTCTAAAATCTCACGATAATTGACAATATTCTTCGTTATCTAATCTGAGTACTGAGTAAAACTAAATAGAAACCTAATAGTGAACACAAATTCAGTCAAATTTGACAGGACAAAGTAATGCACAAACGAGATTTAAATCCGATATTTCTTAATGCGCATCCAAGATCATTTCCAATCAACTAGCCAGCGAACCAGATGCTAAGCCGTGTTACTCCACTTATATTAGGTAGAATCTTACTTCAGACAAATTTCAAGGTCTCGGTTCACCGCGAAACAGTATATCTTGATTATTTAACTCTTCAAACCGTTACACTACTTTCATTTGAACTAAAATTTCATTATTAGACACGAAGTGGACTTGTGGATCGTTTTGTCATTTTGTATTCTTATTCTTGCTGATTTGAAAAAATTGCTCAACTACTGGAATAAATTATTTTGAAATTTCCATTGTCCCGGAGGGCTTTTATTTTGTTTTCTTTCAAAAATTTCTGTTGGCTCTAAGAGATTCGTTATTTGTGTTTGATGACGTGATTAAAATTAAAGTGCGCAACTTGTGCCGGTTTCGCGTTCGCAATCTGATGGCGAGGCGGTGCCGGTAGTCTACTGTGACAGATTGCATACCATGCCGTGCCCATATATTTGAGCGGCATTATCTTATACAACAAAAAGTCTCAAATCACGGCCGCGAGTCCTCAACTAAAACTTGAAATACTAGGGGTAGCAAAGTAGCAAGTGATTACTCACGAGGTCATAACCATCGTGAGGTCAATCTTTGCGACAGAGATGTCTCCAGATTTCATTGATGCTGATATTTTATACCAAGGAGCGATCATAAATAATTTCATTTAATATTTATTTGAAAGTAAAACCAAGAAATTTAAACATGAAGTAACTTATTTGTTCAGTTGAAAAGAAAAACAAAAATAGAACGAGAAGCAACTTAATAACACAATTTTCGTTTATGACAACATAATCTCTAATGAACAGTGAAAATAGGGCAAATATATTTGGCACACCTATAACCATCATATTACAATAACACGTTGGTAATTTGAGGACGGAATTAAAGACTAAGAAAGTAGGTAATATGGTGTAGCTTGTGCAACAATGTAAGATGTGTCAAATATGTTGCCTAGCCAACGTATGCGTATAGTAAGAAAACTGTCGAATTCATTCAAAAAGTAGTGAAGAGTAGTGGTTTGAATTTTGCTTCAGAAACTCTTTTAGCACGTGACTTATGACGTCACGAAGTCTATCATGTGACGAAATTTCGTCGCGGTTCAAATGTGTATATGAGTAGAATACTGTATTTGCACTCAATTGGTATTATTTAGCATTTATTCATACGAGTGAAAGAAAATCAATTATAACATAAACAAACAAAAATATGTTAATAACGTAACAAAACAAGAAAGAAAGTAACGTAAGAAACTGATCAAGAAAAATATCATTGATTCACGGTTGACCCAAAGTGTATATATTCTGTAAAATCGCCATATCAATTACCGTCCAAGTCTGATTCATAGATGGTCATGGGGATTATACCGAACCACAGTACATTTATGGTAGTTGTTTCAATCGGATTTTATTCTGCATTGCGTACACTTTAAAAATTATTATAAACTCAGACGAATATTGGAATTTTTGAAATAAACAGGTCATTGAATTTATGAAAAAAAACATGAATGGTCATATGATTATAATTCTTCAAAGCTTGTTTTTCCCTCTGAAACTAATTAAAATCCCACGATAATTAACTAATTTCTAAATACTGACTTGCTGGTATCTGCCATTCACACTTGGGTCAATCATGAATCAATGATTCGATTATGCATTAATAAATAAAACCGATGGAAAGGAATAGTAAAATGCGGAACTTATTTTTTCAAAACTTAAAAATAACGAAAAAAAATGGGAATAGAAAAAATCAAACGGACAAGTTGCGTTGTACAATACTTTGGTCATGGAGTGACCTTTATACTGTAATGCGCCGAAAATTTTTTTATTCTTATTCATAATATAATTTATTTAGTATGGAAAAATAAATTTTTTCTAACATATAAGTGACAGCTAGTTTATGTTAGATCGAATATAAGGTAATCGAACATAGGTAAAACATGTTTTTATGTTATTGTTTTCTATACTCATGTTTGGTATTGTGCAATATAAAATATAGCATCGATTTCAATTGTAAATAGACGTTCGGTGAATAATCTCGCGGATTTCTCGATTCAAAACATCATCTTCGATACTTTATGACGTCAACCGTCTTCATCAAGTTGTTGAAGTTGTTGGTAATGAAGAAATTCAGCTCGAAGAGCGGCGCATCTTAAATAATAGTTCGTTTCACATTATGGAAAAAATTCCCGAAAATATTACACTTATTCCCTTATTATAGATGTATTATATACGGTGTATATATGGGCTGTGAAGTCGGAGTCAAAATTTTGAAATCGCCGGAGTCACAATATCCGGCCGTATTATGGAAGTTCTAAGCGTTCTAAACAGTCTTTTGAAGATTTCAAAACGCCAAATTTTCAGAAAATTAAAATTTGAATATATCGGAGTTCGGATACGGAAACATTTTAGTAAACAGCAGTTGGAGTCAATTTTTTTCTAACAGTACTGGCGTATATAATGAAGCTTAAGCTATAGTATATAATAACATCAATCATAATTGTGGGGCAAAAAATTAGTAACGTACCTGCGGGCCATGCTTTCTTTAGAATAACTCGGTCCAGCTGTAGGTGGTTGTTGAACCTGTGTCAAAGTAAATTTTTTTGAATATGTTTTATGACGTGACTTTTTATAACATATGCATAAGAAATTTATTTTTGTCTTATATATATGAATTTTTAATTTATTATTCGTTTGTACCTGATTGCGCTGTTTTCTTGCTCATTTATGATATTTATTAATTTATTATTCATTAATGGGTTTTCTTTTCGAAGTTGCTCATGAAATCTATTATGCACCCGAAATGACCAGAGCGACTCTGGTTCGGGTTTCATAACCTTTCAACTCTTACTTCGACAAAAAAGGAGAACTCAAAAACTCCAGTGCTTGCAAAATTCATTATGTTTCACTGAAAAATCAAGTTCCCAACTCCGGAGATTGGAAGAGGTGACTCTGACTCCGGAAAGCAGTAGAATACAACTCCGACCCCACGGTCATTGTTTTGAATATCTCAACAATGTACATTGGATATGATTGTGAGTTTTTATTACCTCATGTAAACTCTCTTCTCTCGTTGTATTTTCCAATATGTCGGCTGAATGAGCTCGTTGACGTTGGTGGGGTATATTGCTTCTGTCTTTCGTTATTTTGTTTAATTCGTCCAAGAGTTCCTAAATAAAATATAATCTTCTTAGTTTGATAGGGCTGTTAATATAATATATCCTGCGTAGGGGTGGACGAAATCGAATATTTTTTTTCAAATCGAATAATTCGCATATTTTTAACGAATACCGAAGAAACGAATAACGAATATTTTTTTTATACATAACACGGGTCCGGAACGTCGTAGATCGATAACTTCTTTGGGAATTGATATGATATTTCATTTTTCAAGATTATTTGATGAAAGCAAGCAAGGTCACTGACATAGGATAAGGTCTCTGAGTCTTGATCTCCGAGAGAAGTTACGTACGGGCGATTACTAAAGCGCCAAAAGCCATTGAGACTATAAAGAATTAAAGTGTAGAATTGCGCGTAAGTTAATACCGACGTGTCATGTCAATATGAGGTATACCTCATTCCTTCCTGAAGTCCTTGGTAAACAAAAGTGGGTAAACTGTTTTTGTCTGGTAGATACACTGACTTTAAACAAATGAGAGCTCACAGCCAACCGAGTTTGACGACTGAAAACTATTTTTATTTTAAAAATTTCAGAAGACATTATAATATCTGTAAAACAAGAGGGCGATGCCCATAATATATGGACACAAATGCCAAGACGAAGTATCACGGGTATACAATCTGTCACAGTAGATTACCGGTACCGCAGTCGTCACCGATTCGCCTCACCAGTCCACTAACGCGACTCGGAACCGCCACAAGGTGGGCAATTTTAAATTTTATTTACGTTGAATAAAAAAAAACCTTCTAACGGAAAATGCATTTTTTAACCAATGAAAATTTCAAAGCAACTAGTCCGGTAGTCAATGCTATTATTATAGAAAAGCTATTATTTCACAATCAGAAGAAGAAAAGAAATACTAACATTAACAACAAAGTAACAGAACGATCCATACGCATGTGCATTTCGTGTCCAATAAGCACAGGACGCAAGTCCCACACACATAAAAGAGTCATACTTACATCTGACACTGGTCCTGATTTCTTGAGAGTTCCAAAATGTCTGAGAGCTTCTAAGATTTCGCTTTCCATCGCTATTTCTGAATCCCATTCGTAATTATCTTCGACAGATGAATTATCTCGTCTTGGTGGCCTGTCCGAATGCGTAGACTGTTAAGAGGGTCGTGTACTTACTTGTCATATAATTCAAAAATTTAGAAAAATATACTGGGCTTTGGACAGTAATTGTAAGAACAGCCCTCAAATGTGCGGATATTCTATAGGTAAATCAGAACCGAAAAATGCTTAATATTCTACTGATTCTTTTTTATAGTGCTTCATACCTTTCGTTAGCAAGTCCGGGGAAACGTAAATGCAATGGTGAAGTGGCGTTATGGTTGTTTGTGTTACTGTGAGCGATAGGCGACGTGGATGAATTGCTTGTGTCTTGACTTCCATAGTCGCTACTTCCCAGTGCTAAAGGTGGAGAGGTAGGAGGATCTGAATCGCCATCAGATCTTAATTTCACGTGCCGGAACGGGGAACCGGACTTCGTCCCCGTGGGTGATAAAAGGTGCCTGGGCCTGGGTTTCGTTACGGTATGGGGCTGATGCCTCGGTGTAAATGTTCGATGTTCTTGATCCTGGCTTACGGCAGTATTCGTTTTTCTTGTTGGTGACAATTTTCTCGTCGTTAGTCCTCCCTTGGCACTGTCACACGTTGACATATTTCGTAAATTATAGCGGAGATCAAGCGCAGAATTTCCACTAGATGGGGTCGTAGTGCTTCCCGCGTTTGTTGCAACCGTCGGAGGAGATTTGAGACGCGTGGAAGGACTCATCAGCTCACCACTACCTTTTGTTGAAAAATAAAATTATTTAGAATAGACACAATAATAAGCTACAAAGAATGATGACGTCACTCACTCACTGACGTCACAGGAATGCATTCATTGCCGTTTGGGTCTTTTACAAAGCGTACTTCAATGTCGCTGTTGCTGCAGTCGATTTCGCATGTAGATTGAGGCTGATGCCGATCAGCATCTGGTTGAGGAGAAATAGGATGCGTTGAGTGTGGAGTATGAGTATGTATTTGAGGATGTGGTTGATCAAAACCTAAAAAAAACAGGCAAAAATAGTACAATTTGTTTAAGATAAGAAATTTCTAGCGTGTCGATTTGTCGGGAACATGTTGTGTCACTTTTCACATGCAGTAGTGTATATTTTCTGAACATGGGGGCACGGTTACGTAGTAAGCAACAGTGAAATGGAATTTCGTCACGTAAACGTACGAATAACACAGCAATGAAGAGAATTTTCAAAAATTAATTTATGTGTCGCGAGGTTACTGGGTCCATTATTGGGCAATAAGTGTACTCGTATACATGGATCGCTTGGCTGGATTCTTGTTGTTGTTGGGGTTTATCTTGCTGTTATTGTTTTCCTTTTTTACAACTAATGCCCTAATCGATTTCAGACCTCCAGTGCATAAAGAACTAGAACGAATCTCGATATTTCACCCTAAAATTGTACTATTTGTAATATAAACTTCTACAAATCATCAGATAGGAGCAGTTCATACCCAAAATGAATTTATGTTTTTGAGAAATGAAATTTGCTCAAGATTTCCATACCTTGAGTTGGCGAAAACAATGATAGTGGTTGATGATGTCCATAAGTATAACTTGCTCTTGATCGTGATAAGGCATTTGAAGGTGGAAGTGGATTGTAATGCCCAGGGTGGTGTTGAATCCCACTATGAAGAGTTTGGGGGTGTGGTGACAGTGAATATCGAGTCCTACTAGGTCCATATTGAGGGTATTGATTTGGACCTGGGTGTTGATAGTTATGATGGATGCCTTCGAACGGGGGTCTCGCTATTTTTCTATGCGGGTGTACATGATGCCTAGCGCTTTCGCTCCTATTACGAGCAGGATTCAGCATTCGGGCCTGTTCGTGTGTAAGAGATTTCGACTTTTGTCTGTCGTCAAAACTCCTTATATCGTGGTGACGAGTAGGTGACCCAGAATACGAAACAGGTGAAATTGGGTCCGTAAGGGGGTCATATTGGACATTTTTACGAGCTATCACTCGATTGGGGGACACGTCGGGCGATTGGCTATCGTTTGGGGATGATGCATATATTGGGTCTGACGTTGGCGATGTCCAAATTGGACGATCCCCTCCCCGGTTTATTACGTCATCTGTTTTGTTATTGTTATTCATGACGTCACAACTAGTATATTCGTCATTATTTTCAAATTGAGATCTGTTAAAAGATCGTTGCCGATATGACGAATTCCACTGACGCCGAATAGGACTGGATGTTTTAGGTCCTGTCCGGTCCAGACTGTCAGAGGACCTGTGTTTAATTGTCCCAACCACCCCAAAAACAGGACTCTCAGAGCTATCGCTAGGTGGAGCCCCGTTCGATACAGTTCTCAATTGCTCAGAACTCGAACTTTTTTGACTTTTGCGCTTTATCACAATCATTCGTCTTTGTTGCGTTGACCCAGGGCCGTCGTCAATGGGTCGACTGTATAAACGAAATCGTTTCCTTGACGTTTGTGGACCATCTATATCAGCCGGTGCTGTAATATTGAGATTGTCTGGTCTTGTGATTACATTGTTTCGTTCTGGAGAAGTTGACGCAGAACGGGTTCCACCTCGGAGTGGTAACTCTCTATGTACTGTAAAAGAAAATAAGTGGTATTTTTAGGATTACCATACGTACTGGTTTAGTCGGGAGTCGGGACAGTCCCGATTTCAACAAGTTGTCTAACCGGTAGACATAAATATCCCGGTTATGTAGCATGACAATCATAATGTATTATTTTTTTGAAAATACTACAAAATTTTAATTTCACCATTAATCACCAATCATTAATCAAAAACCATTCATTTTACTATTGTCTATTGAGGAAAGCTTGCATACGCCAAGATTTTCGTTATTGAAATTTTTTTTTTTTTCGGAGTTCGGAGCTGGGATCGGAACCAACAAACAACATTTGAACAACCTGAACGAATATTTTAAAAAACCGTAATCAACATTCCTCTAAATCCGGAATCGGAGTCCGGAAATGTTTCTTCAACTAGGTGTCGGTTGTGAAGTTACTAACGCCACAGCCACAGTCTAAATTGTGATTGCATATAGAAATCACATGCGAGGTATCTCGTTTTTATTCGTCAACCATCCCATGCATATATATACATAGGTAAAAATGTAACATGCGATGTAAACTTCACCGAATAGAGATACTCCGTAATTCTGAACTCATTAGATTGGTACGTGTAAAATATCTACTTAAACAGAGCATTGTCCAGAAAAAATACAACATGAAATAAAAAAAATGAATAATTGCCGAAATATTACCTCTGTGGTGCATATAGTCTGTGAATGATCTTCTTTTATATTGAGCTAATAATACTCGAGCAGCAGTTTCTCTGCGTATTCGTACAGATGACCTGTGAGAATGGAACTTTCTTATAGAGGAGAAATAGGAATAAAATAACATTTTGAACAATCGATGTACTGAAACTGAATTTGTTCAAGTTACAAAATATTTAAACAATTTGATTTCACTTAAATAATTTATTGATTTAAATAATTGATCTAATTTAAATAATTTTTTTTTTCTACAAACTTTTGCAGTCAATATATTTTATGCTAAACCATTAGTTAGATCACTTGTTCGAGTCCAACTGAAGGAAAATACCGAATTAGACTACTGAACTACCGTATTTTAAGCACCATAAGACGCACTTCAAAAATTTTTTTTCCTCAAAAATCGATGTGACCTTTATATGCCGGTGCGACAAATGTATGGATCAGGTAGTGCTTTATGCCTTATCGCCAACACCCAAAACCAGTACTGCTTTAAATACCACTGCGTCTTATAGTTCAGTGCGGCTTATGAATAAAACCCCAAAGAAAGCAATGTATTAATTTATTGTGCGCATTATGCTGAGGTGCGCCTTATCATCCGTAAAATCTAGTCATATTCAGACCGAATACCAGTGAATAGATAATCATACCTTCCGGAAGATCTTGTTTCTGTCCTCGACTCAATATCATTTTGTCGTTGTCTTTGAATGAAGTCAGAAAATATTTTCTCAGACTCTTCGTCGATTTCGTTTATAAACGGTGTCTTAACGTCATCATCAGTACTGGTTGATTCGAATTCGTTCCGATTTCCAGTATTACCATACATTCCGTTGTTCGTCAGATCGACTACGGTTGGTTGGTGATTGGTATTACCAGGCCTACCATTCATGGTTGGCTTGGTATGACTAGAAATAGGCAATGACGTTAAAAAACACGACTTTTATCAAGCGATTTTTATCAATGTAGAAAACGTCTTATTGGTGGGAGGTTGCCAGATGAAATAATTGATAATGCATGCCTGCTCTGGAGCAAGCCGTAATTTTGAATGAAAAGTGTCATCTGGTCCTGAGCAATTCAAAAATGCGATCATGGCTTCAACGCTCTAACTCTCTACATAAATTTAGACAGTCAACCTGCTGATGAACTCGACACTGGACTCGAAATGTCGGAAACCAATTCGTCATCGACACTCTATGATGAGAAGTATGACAAATGGTACAAGCGGGAAATGTTGGACAAGTGGTACACTAAAACAACGAGATATACAATCTTGGAAACACCGTTACCAAAACTTGCCTGATTGGATTTCACGACTCCAACGACACTATTGGCACTAAATTCCGATCTCACCGCTTTACATAGAAATATATGACTGTAGCTGTCGTTCGAAGCATGGATCGTTCTCAGGTTTGACACCAAATTAAGATTTGAAATTTTGTCAATATATTCGGAAATAGCTATTTTAAAATATAATCAGCTCAAAAAAATTAATATAGAATCCATGGATACTAACCTTATATGGTTTGAGGTATTTTCTTGTGAAGTACTTTCCTCTCCTGAATACAAAAAAAATAATCAGATAAGTAAAATGACAAAAACTATAGAATAAGAAGTAAAATTGCGAGACAATAATTTGCTATCCTAGACATCCGAATCCAATTGTTACAATGCAATGAAAAAAACAGCTTTGTTCTTTGCAAAATTTGTCTCAGATTTGGATATGTCAACAATTTCGAATTTAATTCAAACCGATGTTTTGTAAAAACTGGCTCAAAAGAATGGACACGAAAGCCATAACAAAGTAGTACGGGTATCTTATTCTTTCTGACTCCGCCAGACCACTACATGGTGCGAAATTTTTAATTTTAATGACGTCATAAATAAAAGTAATAAGTTAATAACCTAAATAAGCGATAACAACAATTTCTAACCACCGAAAAAGCGGGTCAAGTAATCAAATGAAAAAGCAACACGACAGATACCGACGAAAACAATAACATTATCACAAAAAGATCTGTCGTGTCCAAACAATCTGAATGCAGATGCACTGGTCATCACCGTCTCGAACCATCATTATAATTCATCGCATACTACAATCTGTTTTTTTAAAGTACCTTGGAAGAATTTTAGCCTAGTCTATCACATCTTTCACATATTTCTGCACTAATTTTTCATTACTGCAATTAAATTAAAGCTCCTAGGAAGACAGAGTGATCATTGGATTATCTGATTTATATTAAGTTTCCAAAACACAACTGAAAACTAACGAATAGAGAAAACGCGAAAACGAGGTAATGTTTACGACCACGCTTGAAAATCTGTCTGAGTGAGAAAAGTGTCTGAGCGGATGCGAAAAGGAAGCATTGTTAGGTCACTTTTTGCTATTGGTGATTGGCCAATGTCACGAAGTGAACAAGGAAGTCGATACTCGGGGAAAGGTCCATTGGGCTGATATACAAACTATTTATAACTGTCATGAGTACCATACATACCAGATTTGGGTTTCTTCTTTCTGTTTCTTCGTCTTTTACAAAACCATATTATAGCTATAACAATGAATAAGATGACCAGTATAATCGCAGCCAACACACCAAAAAGTATAGGATGTGCAATGAAAGCAGCCGTTTGTATAATACCAGTGTAGCAAGGATAGGCGTTCAAACCTGTTAAATTATTAAAAATAAATGATAAATAGGGTATGCGTGCTAACGTGAATTTAACGGGGTTAGGTTGATGAACCCAAAATAAAATACTGTGTTACTGTGAAGGATTTCGATCTATGAATTATGCTAAATTGAGGTAAATTTTCTACTTTTGCCATATATTTCAGAAAATATGAGGTTCGATTTGTAGGTACCTAATATTCTATATCTTATTTTTGCCATCATGGTGATCTGAAGCGAAGAGCGTCAAACTAAACTTGTCGGAAATCTCAAGTCAAGGCGAATAGAAAAAGAATAGTCACCTTTTGTAGAGATGGACACTGGACTGCTTGGTGGACTGTACACATCTCCTTGAACCGTCAAAATACGAAAATCGTATAAAATATCCCTATACAGTTGATTCGGCTTTAAAACCACCCTCGTAATGTTATCGTAGGTCATAGTCAACGATTCCCATTTGTTTTTAGGCGGTATTTTTGTTGAAGTTATAGATCGCTTTTTTCGAGAGGTGACGTCATTGACTGTGACGTCACTATTACTTTTTGAAAGATTTTGTTCCACTTTGCCATTGTCAACTCCGGTCCATCTGTATTCTAATAAAAACCATACTGATGTGTGAGATGCTTCTCGCTTGTCTTTCTGTCGGTATATCGTTGGTTTTCTCCAGGATAGCTGAACCAAATCATCGTTGGTTGTACTGGCAAATAGAGATGTAGGCGGTGATAATAAAACTGTGTTGCTGTTAGCTGGAAGTACTATATCTGTAAAATATATTTTCAATTTTTCATGTATTATAACATAGATCGTGAAAATGCGTGAAAATAAATAAAATAGAACTAATACAGTTTGAAGAATAATGTTAAGAAATAATTTTGATCAAGTAATTCAGTTTTTTTCCAGTGATAATTGGACTAACGGAGTGCGATGGTGCGATTTGCTATTCAACAGTATTTTTGATATAAAATATTGATGTGAATATACTGAATTGGATTATTTTGCTTAACAAATATCCATAAATAATTATCGTAAAAAGTGCTGTGGTGTCGAAGAAAATCTCCTATTGACACCGACTCCGGGTTAAGAAAAATTTGACTCTACTAAGAAAAACAAAGGCTAAGAAAATAAAATCCAACTCCATTCGACTCAAGTTAAATCAAATTTTGACAACAAACACATTAGCGAGAATCCTCCTTTACTAGACCTTTAAGAACGATTTTTGGATTTCGAAAGAAAATTTAGACCTTATTATCTATCACTAATGAAAGTATGAAATTTTTTATCCGACCCCCGACTGCGGGGAATTCAAAATTTTGACTCTGGATCTGAATTTAGTGAAAACATGCTGAACTCTGACTCCGGCACCACAATCCGGATAGGGAATAGTACAAAATATACTCTTCCAATAAAATCAATTTTTCTATTCCATTGAACAAAAAAAGTTTTTTCGTAACAGAACGCTTCACATACCTTTAGTCTTGATAGTTACAGTATCACTGAATGGTCCACTCCTGATTTTATTTTCTGGTAGTACAGCGATTTCATACACAGTATTCGGCAATAAATTTTCCAATACCGCAACATTACGATTCCCTCCGACATGGTACGTTTGCCACGATGGATCAAGATTCTCAATCGGTTTATACCTGAAATAAAATAAAACTGAATAATAGAGAAGAGAGAGATAAAACTGTTTGACTTTATGTACTTTTATTTTCATTATTCTCTCTAAAACTAATATAGGGTTTTTCACACTGAGCCTCAGGCCCCCAAAGGGAAGGGTACGGAGCAGTACTTTGAGGGCCACAAATAAAGGCCTTCACTGGTAATCATTCGCGATATCTACATAAGTTTAAAGCAAATAGACTGTTATTTGAATGTAAAGCATTTTTGTTTTGCTTTCGTGGTACGTTTGCTTTCGCTTCTTCTTATTATGAAACGATTGACATAAAATACTGATCGAAACGCGGTGAAAGCAAAACTAGATATTTTTATAAAAAAAAAGTCTTTGAATGAGGACCACAGAACAACCCAATTAATTGCACGTGAGTTGTTGTTCAAAGACTTGGATGCAGAGACAAAATAGTAACAACAAGCATACCAAACCATGAATCTTTGTGGGTGTCCTCCATTATATCCGGGAATCCATGATACTTTGACTGATGAGTCGCTTACTGCTCGCACTGTTACGTTTTGTACTTTATGTGGACTTGTATCTAGAATTTCCAGAAAATATGTTCAAAACTGAATTTATATTTTTAGTTTATTTAAAATACTGAAAAATAAAAAGTATATAATACAATTCAAATAAAATCTCCCCGAATATAATTTTTTTATATATTCATCGCCTATTTGTGCCTTGCGATCTTACCAAGGTCATATACAAGCATCCATTAATATCTAACAATATGTAGAAAGCTGCTATTATATTTGGGGGGTTTCGACCCAAACACCCCCTGGGTACGCACCTTGGAGAGAAAGTGTAAAAAACGGCTCACGAAAAAAATAAAAAAAAATACTAACATTTGACACGAATTTCTACGTTTTGTTTGACTTCTGCAACAGAGTTTGTGAGGACACATTGCCATGTACCGTGTATAGCCTTCGTTACTGGTTTGATGGTTAAAGTTCCAAAATCGACTTTGTAATGAACGCTGTCACCTTCTCGTAAGACCTGAAAGCAGAGTTAATTATACAATGTAGTAATTATACAATACTGACAGTTTGTCGATTCAATTCAAAGCAAAATAATAACTCGTGTTCACTCTCCTTAATGTTCGTCATAAATTCTAACGTCCTTATGTGGGATTCAGAAGTCTTGCTGCACACCAACACCAATGTTAATTAAAACAGCCTTCTCTGAAAAAGACTGACCTCAATCAACGAAACGTTCTGTTGGTTAGCAGCAAGACACTTGAATCACGTAGAATAGTCATCTTTATTCATACTGCGGTATTCTCACTGTATAAGCTCACGCGTACGGATCCACAAGCGCAAAGATGGTTTTTCGTAATTCCAACTGATAGAACCATAACTTAGCAGATATAATACACGAAATTATTAAATTATGTGAATTAAATCATACAATGTAACGTTTTCGTGAATTACAACTAGACTTTTTCGTGAATTGCGGCATGGTATCAAAGTACCTTTAATGCTGTGAACCCGAGATGTGTAACCACCTACTAACGCTTTACCCAACGGACCCATATGTGTCGTCTCTGTATTTCCCAACTTAAAATCGTATAAAAATTTAGATTATTTACCTTTCGCCATGACACAGCTGGAGGTGGATCGCCTCCTCCTTTGCATGGTATCGTTATAGTTTTTCCGATTTCAGCTTCATAAGTGGATCTTGGTGTATAAGTGAAGTAAGGCGGGTCGCGTATCCTTAGTACAGTTCCAGTGCTTTCACCCAGCGTACCCCGAATGTTGTAAGGGGTGCAAGTGTAACGACCTGCGTCATGTAGACTGGCTGAATCGATGGTTAGAGTGCCGTCACCGTCCATGGATATTCGTGGGTCCTGCAATTTTTATTATAATAGTTTTTTGAGATTTTGAGAGTTTTTCCATTGAGTCGACCCTAGTCAATGATTTGAATGGACTCGATTCATCTAAACGCGATGCCTCCTTACTAAACAAATCGACAAATCGAAACTTAATTTGGCTTAAATCAACTGGACCTATTACTTCCAAATTTTAGTAGCTACAATTGAAAGTGACCTCTAACAGGCTGTTACTTTTAACAGCCAATTTGCGCAGATTCCATTATCCTGGAGTCTACATATTTGAACAACAAGTCGTTTGTGACTCGCGTTTTTTACAAGCCTTAAGCTTTGAATCTATATACAAGGGCTCTTCAGGACAGAGCCGCTTAAATTCTACACTTAGACTGCATATCGCCCAAATGAAAACAAACATAAACAATATTCTATTCAGTTTTATGCTAAAATATAGTCCAACCTGCTGAGGGGAAATCCTGTACGCATCTTTTTTCCAAATGACTTTATTAACTGGAGGTTCAGCTTCAGAAGGGCAGTGCAGAATCGCTTTTAATCCTAGTCCAGCATACACGATAGCAGGCATGTTTGTCACCCTAGCTTGAACTGTTAAAAAAATGAGAGTGCATCAATTAGGATTTTGTATTGAAAGAGCAAAAAGTTATTAGGTGGTCGTGGCTGCGTCGTTGTTAAGGCACAAGACTTAACTATAATGGCATCGCTGGGTAAAATTTCAGCTTTACATTCCATGGCCACCACCTTACCCCAGGGTGTAAAAAATTAGCGAAGCAATGCCGAACCAAAAAGTTTTCGGTTATTATAGTATAGTATCTCTTAAAAGTTGAAACTTGCGCAGAGCTTTGCTCAGATCGAAAGACGTGTATATACGTCGTGTAAGTATATAAGTCATATCAGTATACATCGGTTTATCAAATACAAGCAGTAAACGGTTAGATAACTTATCATTGAAATAGCAAATACCATTTAAATATTATTTGGCTATAACGATAAATGTTTCAATAACGGGATATCTCATAAAGTTTTTCATAACAACTCAGAAAATAAAACATCTTATGCCAGATTACATTGTGATGCTGTATATTAATTGAAAACCAAATATCAAACCTATTAATATACCGATAATTAAAAATATTACTATAAAAAGATAGTTACATTGTACAAAAAGCGACGCCGTTGCAGTAGGCGTGACTCCAAAATCATTGTCAACCGTACAAGTAACGTTTCCTTTATCTTTTGTACTTATGTTATAAATAATCAGAGATCCATCTGGCAGTATGCTGGAACGACCACGCAGAGTTTCAGATCTTTGTACCGGTACTCCATTGAATGTCCAACTAAAAATATATTTATATATTAGAGAGAGGTGAGTAATCACGTTTTGTGTAGATTTTATCGTAGTTATCGTTTATATTGTGGAAAGTAATGATTTTCACAATAATTGAAATTTGCGCAGACGCGCACACCCTTTTTTACGAGAACACATTTTTAATCATTCTGTAAAAAATGACTTTTTTTTGGTTTTGTGTCCTGTTTGTCAGTTTATGTTTGTATTTTCGAATTTTAGGTATAAATTGATAAACTCGATTTTTATTTCGTCTGAGAAGTTTTAGTTTGGTTACAGTAATCAAATATTTTGAATCAAAATTGTTAACCGAGTCCATGCAATTGAAAACAAATAATAGGCTAACTAATCCCATACCCGACATATCGACTGTTGACCGGAACCGTCAACCGTGGTTCGCCATATGATTGGGCCGTTTTATCGGCTTTTTTCTCCCCAATAGAGAACGTCTACATTACCTATACTTCATAACGCTTGGATATCCAGTCGCACTGCAGTCGAACATTGCATCCTTGCCTTCTTCTGTCGTCAAATCTGACGGTGTTTTCTCAAATTGAGGTGGCGCTGTAAAATGATAAGAAGTCGATAAGAAGGATTATTGGACACGAAGTGGTCCTATGGATCGTTTTGTTATTATGTTGTTGTTAATATTTTTCCTCATTGCTAATGTGAAAAAATTCATGTCGAGTATGGAAATAGTTAACCAGTCATTCATTTCAGAGCTGTGGACTTGATGATGAGGAAGCCGTGAACCACAGCACCTCGCCACAACGATGGCGAGTAGACCAGTAACCATTTTGTAAATTAAGATGCTATATGATAATTTAACTTGCATTTTTATCAACATCTTTAAAATGAACGCAAACGCGATCTTTCATCGATTGAAACAATCATTTTACCTTCAACTTTTACAGTGGTAGCAAACTGTATCTGTCCCTCGACGCTTTGGGCACGACAAGTAAATCTTCCCCTGTGTGACGTAGTCAATGACGTCACTGCAAGGTCACCTCCACTTAATCGAATCCCGTCCTGAAATATGTACAAGTATGTAGAATACATAAAACTTAGTTAAAGACGAAAATTATCATAGTCCAAGCTTGAGTGAATGAAACCAAACATACTTGGCCATCTGTAACAAGTCGTCCATCTTTTCTCCAGGATATAAACGGTTTTGGTCGACCGGTCGCACGACATTTTAACAGAAGCGAATCGCCTTGCCGAGAAATCTTTGTTGGTGGTGGAGTCTCAATAAACGAAGGTGGATCTGAAATATAGAAGAATGGTTGAATATAGAAATATGATAGCAAAATTTATAATGTTTTTCCACAAGTTTAGAATATATATTTTATAAAAAATGTACATCTCTGTTACAAAAATTGAATTAAACATGCGATTTGTTAGATGTTCGCGATTACAGTAAACGGAACGCCTAGTTTTGTTCATATTCGACCAATTACAGTAGCACTTCACACTGCGCAAGAAGACGAAGTAGAAAATGTATTTTTACCCGCAAAAAAATCCAAACATTTTTTGTTGTTGTTAGAACGCCTAGATGTTTTTTTTAATGTTTACAATGTTAATGATTGTGTGCAGTAGGCGGCCCGTGGGCCACAGACTGGCCCGTCAAGTCATTTAGTGTGGCCCTTGTGAACACTTAGATTTTTCCCATTTACCGTAAAATCCTAATCCGACAGTTTATGCTACAACGTCTGTCAAAGCGCATGTTTACAAACTATGTAAAACTTGGAATTTCAAGTCTCCCACTAAAATGTGAAATAAATAAAATTTTGCATTGTGAGAATATTTGAACTCGTTGTGTACATGAAAAAACTAAAATTTTTGTGTGGCCCAGCCAGGTGTTCAAAATGCGCAAAGACTCAAATGAAATGAATAGGTGAAGCACAATTGAGAAAAAAAGCGTATTGGAAGCCTAATAAATTGTGGATGGCATTCATTGGAAATACCTTTTAGTATAATTGCAACTAATTTCCATCAATTCTAAACAAATGTCAGTTGTGCGGAATATTCTCTTAGATGTGGCGTTCAGTTACTTTCAACCGCATTATTGCGGTATACTGTTTGTTATTTTTGAATTTGGAATTCATATATGAACTTTGTCGCATTGTATTACCGTAACAAACCCATTATATTATAATAGCATGCATATAATGAATTAATCCACCAAATAGCATTCGAAGAAAGATGCAATTATTTTACGTTCATGGTGACATTTGATAATGGTAAAGATAGTGCTGAATAAAAGTCGAGTCACGAGTCAAAAGACATACGAGTCGAGTCTGGGTCTCACTGAAGGTTAGTTGATGACGACTCAAATCCATTGTATTTAGATGTTTTGAATCGTCTTGTCACCTGAGTCACCTCAGACTTTATTGGGTGAAGAAAAAACGACGCTCCTTCCACCACCAAGAAACATTATAGAATGTGATGGTACAAATTCATACATTTCATATAATTTGTTTCCGTCAGCAGGCCTTCAGCCGCAATTCTGGCTAGTTACTTAGTAGCCACTGCAATTTCAGTGGTCTATAATAACTTTGCTATGGGGATATTAAACTTCGCCTAGAATGAATTCATATGACCTAGCTGAAATCAAATTTTAATAAAAACGATATCGGGTATATATATTGGATTCGCCGAACGTAAACGTAACTTGATCCCGCATTTATGGATACTAAATCCCATAAACCGTGTGCGACACCTTTCAAGCATTTTATTACAAGATTACAAAGTTCTCAAAGGGGGAATTATGAACCAAGCCAAGTTAATATGAACCGTATGCCATGATATGCTATAATATAAATTCAAATTCGTCTTAAATGTAATTTTGTTTCACAACAAGACTGTACAATGGTCCTATATGCCAATTTGCTTATATTTTTCTAGTAACAAAATGTATACAGTTATTTTAATCAAGTATAGTAAAGCGAAGGGAAATAAGTTTTCTACCAAACAAAGTAAACACTGATATAATGTAATCTAACTAACAGTTAGGTGTAGCAATGGTTACATATTCCCAATTAAAATTTGAATGGCATTTTATGTGAAGGACTATTGGGCTGCCATATATAGACAGCGGCTTTGATTTTTAATGCAGCTACAAGTGACCCAATCAAGTACAATGTTGTATATAAATACTGCATAACAAAATAAAAGTATCTGAATACTCAAAATTTGTTGCTTGGTAATTTTTACTTAAATTTAAGTTGCTGATTATATTATAATATACAGCAGAGCAAAACTTGCGTTAAGGAGGAAAAAGTGATAACGAATTTCCGAAAAAGTACTTTAAGACTAAAATCTCATGTTCATTGATTTTCTATGTTTGTGAATTGTAGTGATCGATGTGAATATGCCAATAAACAAATTTAATCATGTATCTATGTATTATCTTTGGCCAAAGACGGACCATAAAAACAATATGTGGTTTGTGGGGATTTACTCTGTCAAAAAATTCAAATCAAAACTGATTTTTACCAAAAATTATAATTTGATAAACAACACTTTTCTCACCCATTTTGTCACACATTTATGTGAAAAATTTCGTTCCTCAAAAGTATGCGTTAATTATTAATGGCAATATAAATTGGTGACATACCAAAAAGATGACGAAATAAAAATAGCAGAACGCAAAAGGGTACTTTTGTTATTTAAATATTTCAATTTTATTTTTAGAGCTGGTCAAACATGTAAAATGGATCTTCCAAAAGTTATTTTGGGTCAGTTTTTGTAAACTCCACCAATCATGATGGTAAAATAAATTTAGGTTTTTAATATGGTCTATTTTAGGGTTTAGCTTGTTTTGAGTGTATTTTGTCTTTGATTCAGGAAGTTAATCGAAATCCTGTACCAATTACAAGTTTAGATCGACAGAAGTGTCCGATATTACATGAATTTAAAAGCTAGAGTGTCTAGTGACGTCACTTGTTTTTTATATTCAAATTTTACTTCAAACCCTAATCCTCTTTTCACAAACAATGTTAGATGAAGTTGCTTGCCTTGTTTTTACTTTATTTTTGGTAAAAAATTTATTTCCTTTCGCCAATTTAAGAGAGTATTGAATGAATATCATTATCTCAACTATCACTGCAACAGTAGTTTCCCAATCCATTCAGTACCATGGACACTTTTGATGATTTATATGGGAGTTGCAACTTGCAAACCTCTTTCATTAAAAATATGTAGTAATGTAACTATGTCTCTCGTCAAAATTTCACAGAAATTACTCCGTAGGAGGTAACATTATATAAGATGTGATTTGCAAGATTTTACTTGTGGGTAAGCTATTTAAAAATGAAGCGTTTCAAAGAAGAGACTGTGGAGCCGGAGTTTGATATGTTTCCACGGGGGTCGAGTGAGAGCTGGAGTCGAATCTTTAAACTATCCGAAGTCGGGGGTCAGAGTCAAAGTTTTTTCCTCGGATTCGAAAGTAAGAGTCACAAATTTGTCGAAATATTTACGAACCGGAGTAAAAGTAGGAGTCACAATTTTTTTTAATCCGGATGCCGGATTGTAGTTTTTTCCGTATCCACAACCCAGGCCAAATGTCTCGATGAACAAAATTAAATGAGAATTAGAATGCTCTTTCTCAGAAATGAACTTTTATGTTCATATGAGTACGATTTTATTAACCTTTAGCTTAGCCTTAGATGATGAAGCTGCGAGCTATAGATTATAAGAGCGAGTACTTCCATCATGATACTTTTATCGCCTTATGCATACAAAGCTCATGGTATCCCTAAAACTCTGCGGCCGGACGCCTGGAGGTACTGTTGGGAAGTACAGCGACAGATGATCCCGTTACGACAATGTAAATCAAAATGTGCTCCATAAATCGAATTATAATTATTTTTGGAAATGAGGGGAAAACAAACATTTTACTACGTGATATTCGTTCAGCAGCATTTGTTCGTTATAGTTCGAGTTTTAAGAAGACTGTCCGATTTAATTATTTTTATCTATATACGCGCAGTAGACAAGGGGTTAATAAAAATATATAACCGCATGTGCCACGTGCAACCTAGCGAAGGGTAAACATGTATAATATTCAATTTAACTAGATTAAATTACTGTGTTATTTCGTGGGCGCGTGGATGGCAGTATTCCCATGATACCCGCCCTCTCCCTTCTGAATGGCCGCGATGACGCGACAGGCATTGATGTGTTGCACATTATACACACCATTAGAAAAAAACGTGAATTCAGGTGAATTTAAAGGTAAATCAACTGGAAACTACTTTGGATGGCATTCAAAACAAAGGAAATGTATGATATTTAATTGACTTAAATTTAAATGTTAGATATATAATCGTGTCGAAAATTACATTAAAATTTCGGTTCAAGTTCTCGTACTTTACTACAGTATGGCTATAGGTTATGTTACTGAAAGACAAGAGGAAGCGAAAAGTTTGAGTTGATACGTGGAATGGTGGCACTATCTTTTGATTTTCCGCCAATTACGATTGTACGTCAACAGCTTAAAACCGAGGTATGTCGACCACACATTTGCTAACCACACTCCAGGAAAATTTTGCCGGAAATCGCCTGGCATTCCATATTACTGGAATGCAGCTGTGAAATTTTAATGTCATTTTAGGGTAAATAGGTAAATCAATTATGAATTTCACAGGATATCACTAGTAATTAATGATCACAAGTTTTTTTTTTGGTGACTTCGACTGTTTTAGTGAAAGAAATTTAACGTGAGTCAAGCAATTTCACGCCAAAAATGGCAAAATATTTAAAATAGTATACTATACTGGTATTACGTCGCCGCTAATTTTCTAGTTCTATCTTATTATTTTTGGTTAGGGTTATACAGAAAATTGGGGGTGATCTCCCCCCCCCCAAAAAAAACAACAACATCCGAACACATCCGCACGGAACCTACGATAACTTAGAAACATAGAAAATAGTTCAGAAATTAAGTGGCGGGGCCATGATAGAATATTAATGATAAAAAATTCAATAACTGGACTTCAATGTAATGCAGAGTCATGTAGAAAGAGAAGTGAAATAAAAAACATTATCCAGGTCATTTGAAGCATTTTCTAATCCAGACAGAGCATAACTTTCGTCATAACGACCTAGATTACTAAAACTATTGGGTACAAACATACTACACGAACAGAAATTCGAGTGGTAAATAACTCACTTCATAATTAAGAAATTTATGAGTTGTGTTTTTTTATGTCACTTTGGTAGTAAAATAACTTTCAAGGCTTTCTTTTGCCCGTGTGACAATTG